ACTGTTTAATGGACATTGAGGCTACAGTATTTGTGTACTGGGAGTACTCTGTAAGTGAGTGTGTGGAAGCATCCTAATTTTCTGAAGTTGAAAACATTGAAGGATAAGGAATGTTATTAACGACCTCTGTGAGCTTTTAATGAAGACGAGCAAGGTTTGTGCAAGCTTCTTAAAGTCTTAAGAAAATAATAAATGTACTGCTCAGTCTGTAGCCACCTTATTACAAAGCAATCATTCTACGCTGGTGATATACAAGTAACACTGGTTTAAAAAAGCAAAATAAGTCTTAATAATGATTCACTAATTTACAGAAAAATTCCTGAAATAGTCATTCACTGTTACATGTCTTACAGAATTACAAAATAATTAAGTGGGTAGTATTTCATTTGACAAACAAGTGCAAACATTCACTGGCTAAATGACATAATAAGTTCTTTGACTAGCTCTGTAACTTTCACTAAAACTCTATCAATAGTAATTGCTGAACTGTCAGATAAAAGAACACTTGTTTTAGTACATATGTAACTGGAGGTGGTTAGGAGGCCACTCAGCTATTTTAAAGAAGAGAAATTATTGGGTGGCCTAGTCTATCTGTGAAATCAGAAGATATGAGAAAAAATCCTCCTATGTAAACAGCGAAATTACAAATATATTGAATTGGGTTTATGCATTTGTTGGTGTGCAAATCAGATCTACCCCTAGATCTGTAAACAATTCTCATCAAAAATCAAATAGTAAAATGAGCACAAATTTTGTTATGTGATTACTTTTTATTTTGTGAGAATGCAGAGAACTGTTAGCTGTTTATAAAAATATAGAAGGAGCTTCTTCCTGCTAAAATCAGAGTGCAATGGACATCTTGAATAACGGTTTTTTAAATATGGTAAGATTACCCAATTAGCTGTAAACATAATTTTTTTAACTTTTTATCTGCAAGCTTGCACTTAAGCTTTAAGACATAAATTGGAACCTCTCTACGTATGTTATCACCACATAACTTTCTAGAGTGGAGATGTAGTTGATAATTTCGCTGATAGTGCATGAGGGAGAATTTAATTCATTTTTTGTGGGGTTTTTGCTAGCTATGGCAGAACTGCAGTTGTTTTGAAAGATGGAACATATTATATGCAGACATTAGCAAAGTTAATAAGGAAGTGCTTTTTATATTTTTATATTTTATATTTTGTATAAATAATATAAATATATAAAATTTTATGTTTTATATTTAGTGCATTTATGAATGTTATAGGATTCTATAAATACGGTTGTTTTCTTGTAGCTAGTACATATATAATATAGACCCTTTAAGCTAGTCTTTAAGGTGAATCTCTATTCAGAAAGATTACCAATCATATGGTAACAAATTCAGTGCTATATTTGTCCACATACTAGAAGAAAAAACTAAAACGCACTGGGTTTTGCTGCACCTAACCTTCTCCCATTGTAAACCAGTGGGAGGTCCAGTCAGGTTCTTCCCTAGGGTCCTTGGTGTGCTGAGGCACTTCTAAGAGCCTGGGGACTGAATGGTTCCTACACATTTCAGAAAGCATAATTTCAGTTTTCCCTATGCAGATATATGACTGAGAGGCACCTTACTGCTCAAGCAGCTTGCACAGGTACAGAAGAACAGACGTAAGTATCTTCTGACATAAATATCCTCTTACTCTGTAAACACACAGTAGGCTCAAGCAGGGCTCCTCTCAGGAAAGAGCCTGTAATACACATTTCTGCAGCAAAACTGTGTCCTCAGAGTTATCAGTGGAAACATATGGGCTCCAATCAGCTTGTGCTGATCCAGCTATTTTGTACATAGTACAGAACTACAGAGTTGCAAAGTGAAGAAAAAGCATCTCTTTCCCACCTCAGGCACCCAGCAAAAGCCTAGTTTTAAATATGTTAAAATATATACAGGACTATGAAAAATGGATTAAGGAGCATATCTGTTAGATATGAACTAATCATTGGAAAATAGTTAGGTTTCAGCATAAATTTGTGTTCAGCTTTCTCATAAAAAGGACCAACACACAACTTATAAAACCTTTCAGGTCTCACTTGAAGCTGTTAGCACTTTTGCTGCATTTTCTCAATGCTCTAGTTTAACTGAGCAGTTACAAAATGGAAGTAAAAAAGGCAGCCTTTTCAGGCCCTCATTCTGGCTTGGACTTCTTGTAAAATGGCATAACCCTCACAAGAAGCTATGTGCCTGCTAATGAAGCATGATTTTGAACAGAACTCTGTATTGTAAAGTTATGCAGACTTTCAGAAGTGCTGAGAAGCCATAGAGGCAGATGGTAACTGCAGGCCTGTCAGCCAGCAGCTAAGAAGGGCAGTAGTGTTACAATGTAATCCAGACTCTGCCTGCAAGTCACTACCTCACTGACTTTTAAATGGGGACAGAGAGGCACTGGCAGAGCAGTTATCTGTGCCACCAAAATGGCACCATGAGCATGTCCCTATGGCACGGAAGGTCTCTAAGGGGAAAGTGCCCAACTGCTGAGTGAAATTGCTCTGGGGGACTGTAAGCACTGTATTCAAGCTGCTAAGGTAGCCTTATTACCTTTGCATTATTGCAGCTATGCTACTTTCTTGGACAAAGGTAGTATCTCTCAATGTCACTGAACTGTAGTTATGAAAACAGACTGGTGGTAGCTCAAGAAGTTCTTTGCGTTGTGTTCTCTTACACAGTACAGACATGTCCAGTGCTGGCTCCCATACATGTTTGGGGAGTAATAGTCACTCTGTTATTGCTTGCTGCTGTAGAAACTATGAAAGAACAGCCTGATGAAAGCCATCCTCAAGTGGACGGGTTGCAGAAAGGGACTGTGCTCACGCTTCAGCCTAAAGAAACATTCCTTACTCATTTCAACTCTAAATAATGTCTCCTAAAATGAAGCACTGTCTCAAATTCACCAAGGATGTAACATAATTGAAGATACTGAACTAAGCGATTTAGGCTGTCTGTTAATATAATATCTTTATGATATTTTAAACATATACTGTATAATGTAAAATTACACAAAGATGAGTGAAAAAGTGTAAAAATCCCATTATAGCCGTTCAAATAAACAATAGTAACAATTGCCTGAACAGAACTCCAGTATTAGGCAAACTGCAGATGCTTCAACAACTATTCTTAGTCATTCCAAAAGTGCTTCATTTCCTTAGTTACTGCATTACTGGGTATTTTCATTGTATTTAGCTTATTTTGCAGTCTAGCAAGGTCAATACTAGGTCAGTATATAATGATCTATAATGAGCTGGTATCTGCAACTGTTGAGACCAGACATAATTACTGGAGGTCTGCTTGCCATTTTGTACATGTTTTACTGTCAGTTATCAAAATGCCTGGTAGTGAACATGATGTTCCATTCTAGTTGCAGCTTCTATACCTTATCAATCAGGGATGTTCACAGTTAGTTCTTAGGAAAAATTCTTGTTTCTAGCTTGTTTCACCAAGAACTAGTTACACATTTTGTTTAGCCGTTAAGTAGAATACTGAAGTAGGCCAATAACAAAGATGAAAGCGTATTTTACTCAAGAGCGCTTTGCATTGTAAAAATAATAATTAAAAAAAATTGGAGCCCATTCAAAATGTCCAAGTGCTACAGTGATAGCATTTTATGCTAGGTCAAGTATTGTAGCCCTTATTTATACAAAATTTCCTCTTGCCATGAGAGTCAACAGGAAATTTAATCTCAGGAAGAATTGTGTTTGTTTAGAACCGGCAGCATTTGTCATTATGCAATTGCGTGGCCCTAAGACAAAGGGTAAAATTGGGACCGTTATTTTAGCCACTGGCTAGAACAGACTCTTCTTGAATAAAGATGGACAGAACTGAAGAGGCCATGTGCTATTTTACACTGTTATTACCAAAAACGGTTCGCTGCACATAACAGTGGCTATCAGAAGAATGAGCTAGAGAAATAAACTAAGAGAAAATCAAATCACTGTCTCCAAAATGACAGACCAAACTTTATCAGTGCACTGACCCACAGGCACCCGGTGTGGCAAAATAAATAAAGATTATTTAGCCTTTCCACACAGAATCATCATCTTGCACACCATCTTGTAGCATGCACATTCTTCCTACATTTTTTTCTACACGTGACACTCACTCAGTTCTCAGGCACTACTGCTGTCAGAAAAATTCCGTATGTTAAGTGAGCTGCCAGGCCGCATTACCACCCCTACAGTTTTATAAGAATATAAGAATGACTATATTGGGTGAGACCAAAGGCCTATCTAGTGCAATTTATCCTTCTCCAACCCTGATCAAGAGCAGATGCTTAGGAAAAATATAAAAATTTGGCAATCAAGCAATATTTCCTGTGAATGTTTTTCCAGCCTCCAATAATCTCTACAGCTCATGAATTTCATGAACCAAAGGTATTATTTTTATATTTAATACCATCAACAGATTTTTCTCCATGCTTCTCCAACTTAAAAGATTTCAACATCTTGTAGCAAAATGTTCGTCAGATGAACACACTTTGGTTGTTTGAATCTACCATCTACTAATTTCTGGAATCTAGATTATTACCTACTACTTTCTATAAACTATATTATTATCAGCTGACCCCTGTATTTCTTATGGGGGCAGGACTGTGTCACCAGAGTGATAAGGCTGGGATCTTGTGGATTTTTCTCTGTCTTTCCCATCAGTTATATGAAGATTAGGAGAGCCTAGGTACTTCTGTTGAGACTCTACATATTTGAGTGCGTTCTCAGTGTACGTGTAAATCCCCTCCCCAGCTTTGTGGTTTTTTATAGTCTGTATTTCCTTCCTTAGAGTGATTCCTTCTCCAATGCATGCACATACTGTTTCCAGCCCCAATGTATCAAGACTCCAGTAGTATCAGCTGCTAATTAGCACTTTTATTGCAAATGTATACTCTTTTTTATTTAAACACATGATTTCTACTATACCTCTTTTATCACCATGTAGTAAAGTGAGGGGATTATATACACATAATATATACAAAGGGGATTTGGTCACTTACCAAGTGAAGATAAGACATAATAAGGTGGATATTAAAATGAGGACTTGGTTAAACATTGCAGACTGTGTGCGTTGAATGGCTCTGTGAAGATCGTTCTATATTAATGGAAAATAGGTGTTATTTTTGTCTTTGAATTAATAAAGCATGAGCTAATTCCATAGAGGAATTATATAATGCCCTCAAAAAATGCAGTCATTCAAATGCACTGAGAATTTGCTGATCACACAAAAGGGTACAAAGGAGCCAGGTGTGATTCAGTGATTATTTAACAGGTTCTTCGTTCATCCTGCCATAATTCTGATAACTCTGCAAGCTGCCTTAAGGTTTGTCCTCTGCTGTCTGTCTAGCTTACAAATTATGTGGGCTGCAGGGACCAGTTGGGGCATAGCAGTTCAGTTCCCTCTAACTGTGTATGAATGGAGGAGAAAAGAACCAGCCATCCTGACTTGTTGGCAAAATAACAGTTTATATTAATTCAAGATTTCAGTTGATGTCTTAATTGTTTCTAATTTTGATGCAGAAAGCAGTTTTAGCAAAGCTTGACCATTTCTATAACCTAATTAAAAATCTGATTAGTTTCCTAACAAAGTTGGACAGGGGACTGCACTGCCAAGATCCCGCTAAACAACAATATGCTAAGAAAAAAATAGAAACTCTAAAATACTTATTATTTTTTGTCATACTTACAATCATGTTCTCCAAAGCATGCTTTGCCAGCCAGCAGTTTAAAAATACAGGAATAAATAGGTTTCTTAGAACGGGCCAGAAAATCTGAAGGAAAAATCAACACATACATATTAAAAGCTTTTTTATTCAAGAAACTAGAGACAATGAAGCACTCAGGAAAGATATGTATTGTTAATTTGTTTCTAGTGTCAGATAGGACTTTGAATTAAATTTTTTCTTCCTATGTGATGAACTGTAAAGATAATGTGATAAAATAAAGACAGTCAGTTTACAGTGCAGACACCAGAGATTCCTAAATTTTTGTATCTAGCCAGTTTATTTTATTTATTTTGCTGTAACTTGAGAGAGGGGGTTTTATTTGTCCCTTTTTTGCTAGGAAAGAGAAACAGATCTGTATTAATACTTTATTCAAGTAGCAAATTACTTTCTTTTTGTTGGCTAATTCTGTTCCCACAGGCACAAATCCAGCATCCACACAAGACTCCCATTTACTTCAATAAAAATTAGAGTATTAATTTGTGCAGCTATAGAAGTGCAGTGTACATGAGTGTATTAATTCAAATATGTTTACCGTGATGATGAAAGGGACAGCATTAATTATTTCCAGGAGGAAAGGTATTCTCAGAATTTGTTCCCAGATATTTCCCTTCAAAGAAAAGGAAAAAAAGAAAGTCACAGTAGGCTTAAGTGAGAAATATACATAATATTCCAAAGCCACATGTGAAGTCTCTCCCAGTATCTGAATTTCAGGAGGAGGATTTGTCACTGATTTAAAAATATATGTCAAACGGTGAGTAGCTAGGCCACTGCAGACTAATTTTGTTTTCTACTTCTGATAATGTACCTCATAGGCAAAAATACGTATTTTTAAATCTGTATTTCTACCAGAGCAGTTCTCTGTTTCCATATTACCGTATATTTTCTTGCTATGACCTATTTAGCAAGACAGCTCAAATGAAGATTTCTAATTGCATTAACTAGTCAGCTCATTCTCTCAGCTAATGAAGAATATTAAATTAATTTTTCAAAATTTTCAAAAGAATAATATATTCCTTTTTGCTCCTATTGCATTTTTAGGCAGCTTGAAATCATACACAGCCATCTTCTCATTTTGCTTTTTCATTCTTCCAAGATTAGTTGACTTCTATTTTTAAACGTTCACTTGTGGATAGATAAGGAGATGAAGCTCCTGTCTTAAGGAATTTATTTTCTTAGCAATACCAGTTTTTCAGTGATTCTTCATACAAGCAGTGGTCTAACCTGATGATGAATTCTTCTATCTACCACTCTTTCTAGTCCTTTTTCTTAGAAGCCTTTAAATCTCTAAAATCTTGCATCACAATGCTCTAGCTTTTGATGGTGCCAAAGTTTTTCTTACCTTAATGCTTGTTATCTACGATTGTCTAGAAATTAGAGATAAAGCCTCACTACAGTGTCAGAGTTGCACAGTCATATCACCAAAGGACATGCCCTGCTTGGAAGACTTTACTACCTAGATCAACTCTTTTGATTATCCCTTTGCATGGGTGACTGCCACAGAGTCCAAATTAACGTTTCCTAAGAATGATGAGCCACTCTCTGTACAGCCTTCTGATTGGACTTCATGGCAAAATATAAAGCCAAGAGGAAAGTAGATATGTTTTGTCTTCCAAGGAAAAGATACTAGCTTGTTTTCTCTTGATCGTGTTTCATTAGCGTGTGCATGTCACTCAGTCCCAGAGGTTTAGGTGTTACTCTGTATTAATTTTCATGTTAGTGTTAAGAAATTAACTAATTAAGAAGTTTGTATTAAGGGGAGG